TAGATAGTTTGCGCTAATGACATGATTCAGGATGGGGCTGGCCATGCCAGAAAGACCAACCATGTGACTAAAGGGTTGGGATTTTGAGCCAAGTGATATCAATCTGACCTCTGAGGAAGGGAGGAAGGCCAATTTTGAGTTTGAATCATGTGGCCAATGATCCGATCAATCATGCCTGCATAATGAAACATCAATAAAAACTTGATACAGGAGGTTAGGTAAACCCTGGTTGGCAGTTCTCGGTGTACTGTCACACATCAATGTACTAGGAGGTTAAAGCGTCCTGACTCCACGAGGAGAGGACAATAGAAGCTTCACATTTGGAACCATTCCAGATCTTGTACTATATATCTCTCCCTTTGACTGGTTCTAACTTGAATCAATTAGTTATAATAAAACCATTGTTTTCTTGAGTTACATAAGCTGTTTTAGGGAATTGTTGAATCTGAGGAGATAATGGGATCTCTCAAATTAGAGGTTAGCTGGTCAGAAGTGAGAGTGGACTGGGGACCCCTGTTTTTGCAGTTGTTGTCTGAAGTGAGGGTAGTCTTGTGGAGGACTATATCCTTAACCTCTGAGGTGTGGCTTAAATCTGGGTAATTGGTGTCAGAAGTTGTTGCAGCTAGCCTAGTCTTTTTCTTCTATTTCAGATTATTATGTCCAACTCCCTACTAATATCTCTTTTTAAAAAGCTCAAAGCCACCAGTTGTTCAACTCATTCTAACTAAATTCATGATCTTTTCTTCCTGTATCTGCCCTTTTTCAGAGATGCCTGTATTATTGAATGACTCTACCCCCTGTTGAACACTGCAAGAAAGAAAACAATGTCATTCTTAACTATTTACATTCTTTTTTCCACCCCTCCAAATATCCAATTTACTTTTATGTTTTAAAGTTTAACTATTTACATTCTTTTTTCCACCCCTCCAAATATCCAATTTACTTTTATGTTTTAAAGTTTAACTATTTACCTGAAAACTAAAGACAAAGAAAGAGTAAAATTTTTATTAAGATGACTCATAGTATAAGCTAGAACTATTAACTAAACTCACTGGGACTTTCAGTCCAGACAAGATGGCATAACCCCATTTTCCCCTTTCCTCCCCATTAAGTTCAGTTATAAATCCTTGAAATAATGCCAGAAGCAAGCAAAGGAAATATCTCAAAGATACAGTAGCCATTTGCATCAATAATCATAACCCATTACTATGTCACTCATTTGAATTTCTATAATAGACTCCTAGATTATTTTGCTTGTTCACACTTTCAATCTGTAGTCTCAACTCAGAAATAAGGATTGTCTTTTAAATACAAATCTAATCATATCAAGTTTCCTGCTTCTTTTAGGTACGTTTAAATTCTTTAATGGTTTAGAATAAATTAAAGCCAAAACTTTTGCAAGAGGCCAGAAAAGCCCAGCATGAAATGGGACCCTACCCTCCCTGATAACTACAGGCTTATATTATATCTTATGCCCCCTTTCACTGCCTGCTCTAACAATACAGAACTTCTTATTGTTCTGGAAAGCTCTACCTTCTCCCTTCCGTAGCACCAATTTTATGCTTCTACTTCCTTCCTCTTGTAGCGCTCCCCCCTTTCCTCTTCATCAGTTACCTCCTATGCAACAAATATTTGAACCCAGGCAAAATTTATTTAAGGAAGCTTTCCCTGACCTTCTGAATCTGATGCTCTCATAACACATATGTTTTGTTTTGTTTTTGTTTTTGTTTTGGTAGCACTTGGCATGGGTTACATTTTTTAATTTAATTTTCTTATTTGGCTAATGTCTCTCTCATAAGAATGTGATCTTTATGAGACCTGAGATCATGCCTATTTTCCTCAGTATTTTATGATCAGTTCTTGATATTTAGTAAGTCCTTAATAATTGTTGAATGACCTGTTCAATAATTTAATATAAAATATGTACTTATTGCCTATTTTTAATAAATAAGAAGTTAAGTAAGTAAATAGATTAACAAAAGCCAAATTATATTCTCATATTATCAAAACAGCAAACTAACATATACTAATATTTTCTAAAGAACCATAACATCTTGGGCGCCTGGGTGGCTCAGTTGGTTAAGCGACTGCCTTCGGCTCAGGTCATGATCCTGGAGTCCCGGGATCGAGTCCCGCATCGGGCTCCCTGCTCGGCAGGGAGTCTGCTTCTCCCTCTGACCCTCCTCCCTCTCGTGCTCTCTGTATCTCATTCTCTGTCTCAAATAAATAAATAAAAACTTTAAAAAAAAAAAAAAAGAACCATAACATCTTTTAACATTCTACACAGAAAATCATATATGTGAGAAACAGATATGATGATTTTCTATAAGGCTGGACTTGGTATAAGGTATTATTTTATGACAAAATTCAAATATCAGCCTTAATTCCTTCAATATGTTGAAGTCACCTTATCTATCTCTTTCTGGGCTTTATCTAACTCTTCCCCTACACCCCTCTCAAATTATTTTGAGCCACCAAGGGCTTCATATTTAAGGGAAAGAAAACACTTGCACAATTTTACATTATTCTCACTCAAGTAGTTTGATTCAGGTTTTATTTGATAAAAACCCTCTTCTCCATGAACCTGCACACTGTCCTAACTTTTCATTCCTCTATATCCCATAAAGTTATTCTATTTTTAAGAGAGAGACTTCTTCTCCAGAAGAATTATGAATTTGACTTTAGGAATGATGAGCTTTTCATGCAAAAAGGAAAAGTTAATAATGAAGACAAGGAGACTTATAAGAAAGTCTGACAAAACTGAATTTCACTGAAACCAAAATTTAAAAAAGTCCCCAAATTATTTAACACTGATTGTTTATGAATAAAACAGAAATATTAACTCAACATCATTACTACAAACTACAAATGCCCAATTCTACTTTCTTGAACATGCTAAGTTTTGTAAAGGTTAGTCTTTATGAAATTATCACTATTTTAGTCCATTTGGTCTACTATAACAAAATACCATAGACTGGGTGGCTTATAAACAACAGAAATTTATTTCTCACAGTTCTGGAGGCTGAAAAGTTCAAGGTCAAGGTACCAGTAGATTTGGTATCTGGTGAGAGCCTACTTCTTGGTTCACAGAAAGCTGTGTTCTCTACATGTCCTCACATGGCAGAAAGGCAAGGGAGCTCTCTGGGGTCTGGTTTTTTTGTTGTTATTGTTTTGTTTTGGGTTTTTTTGTTTGTTGTTTTTAAGATTTACTTATGTGAGAGAGAGAGTGAGCGGGGGAGGGGCAGAGGGAGACATCAGACTCCCCACTGAGCAGGGAGCTCAATGCAGGGCTTGATCCCAGGACCCAGAAAACATGACCTGAGCCAAAAACAAGAGTCAGATGCTTAATCAACTGTGAGCCACCTACGCGCCCCTCTGGGGTTGTTTTTATAAGGACACAAATTCCCTTCATGAGGGCTCTGCCTTCACTACCTAATCACCTCCCAAGAGCCCCACTTCCAAATACCATCACAATGGAGATTAGGTTTCAACTTATGAAATTTGAGGGGACATAAACATTCAGTCAATGGCATGATTACAAATCTTCATGCTATCCTTGATTATTTTAGTATGTACAAATCATAAGCAGTTAGTTACTAAAATAATAAATACAAATCCATTTTTTAAAAAAGTTTTAATATATATTAGTGATGCCACTTCTTATAATTTTATTTTCAATGAACTGATAAATGTGTTATTCATATTATTGTTTTCTTAGCTCCTAATGCAAAGTTAATTTTGGAGAGCTATAGATAAAAGTAACTGGTTTTAGAAGAGTGACACAAGCACACAAAATAATTGTATCCCAAAAGACAATTTAAGTTAATGCTAAAAGATATTTAAAGGCTTCAGGAGTCCCACCTTCCAAAATACTCTTCCTTTCATAATTTTAGGCTTTGGCGCTATTATTAATAGGCATTTTAGTGGCAGAAATATTTTCAACCTAAGATCAATAAAAGTGGATGTAAATCAATGTGTATACTCTGCTAAATTTGGCATATTAAACCACTTTTGGATTTAGGAAGATGAATTTAAATCTCGCAGTTCCAGAGAAACTTTCCTCATACTTTTAAATGCATACTATCATGGAAATAAAGAATGAGATCTAAGTAAATAAAAATAAAACCATTTTTCCTTCTCCAATAAATGACAAGGCTCTTAAATACACAGAAAATTGTATGAATGATCTTCAGAGCTTTGCCATTCAGCAGAATAATTTACATGAGATTCCAGAGTAGCTACCAGTATGAAAAAGAACAAAAAGAAGAAAACTGAAGACCTTTTCCAAATAGTACAGAAAATGTGAAGTATAGAGAGCAAACTGATGGTTGGGGGTGGGGAGTTAAATAGCTGATGGGGATTAAGGAGGGCACCTGTTGTGATGAACACCGAGGTGTGGAATCACTTTATTGTGCACCTGAAACTAATGTTACACTGTATCTTAACTAACTGAAATTTAAATTTTTTTTTTTTTATTTCAAGGCACATTTAATTTAATATCAAGAGTGCAATACAAAAGGCCCAAATACAATGAAGGAAACACATTCCCCCATTAACACCAACAACAATGCTCTTTCAACATGTGCCTGTTGAATGGAATGGGGATTTAATTTCACTACTAAAAAAAATAATGCAGTGAGTTTCATCACAGCCAATATCCTTATACAATCTAGTAGTGAAATGAATGTTTATAATGCTTCAAACATTTTCAACCTGAAGTTTGATACCACACCTTTTTGTTTGTACAGTCCTCAATAAGATTATCTACAGCATTAGCAACCATTCAAAGAACAAACCATTGATTAAAACCACATTGATTTAAGGCTCAATCAAGTAATATAGAGCCCCAAACTAAATGGTTAAATATATGAACTACTTGTACTGACATCTATTATTTGATTCTCTCGTGACTATTATTAAATTGGTTCTTAGCAAATAAACTCTTTAAAGGCAAAATTCACCTCATTTGAGTTTTGACCCAGAAGTTCAAGAACAATCACGAAGTCCACAGTCTTATTGGCAAAACTGATATACAGTGTCTCTAAGTCACTATGCTCAAGGTTAAGAGCGATGCATATTCCATTTTTACATTTTACTGGAATTTTACATGTTCAATTCATGATTTTAAATCTCTAGGTTTTCATTCCTCCAAACTGCCTGAAGACACAGTGTGCCACAGACTTAAAACTTCTGTTTCTCCCTCTATTTTCTTCAAACAGAAACATTTCTCAAGTGTCTACATGTTCTAGAAGGGGAATTTTTCGGAGGTGGCCACTTCTTCGGAATAGTCCGACGCCATCAGGCCTCTGAAGCAAGGGGAGGGGGAAGAGAAAAAAGCTGAAACACAAGGTTCATCTGGTAAGTTTTACATTAACCATTACAAGCTGGATAGTATAAGAATGTGGCTTTTTTTGGCTCAAAAAGTCTGAGTCTTGGTGTGGAAACGAGTACTTGGCTGTCCCACCACAGCTTTCTCGTAGTGGGACTGTCAGGGAAGTCTTGACTGGGGAGTATGATTTGTTTACCTATCAGGCGTAAACTTCCAGGCACTCAGTTCATTTTGGGCTTGTTCCAGTTTGTCTTTAGTCTGTTCCAGTTCACCTTTCATTTTTAGGAAAAACAAGTTGATCGCTGGGTCTACCATTGTTGATCTCAGTTGGGCAACGCCAGGCTGCTGGACTTGCTTGAGGTACTGGATTTGAGTAGTACACTCTTGCATCTCTTGCTCCTTGGTTGCTAGTCGCATTACAAGGATGTTTTCCCTGCGAGCAGACTCTTGCTGTTGTTGCTTTAGTTTTTCTTCAGACTCCCTTAACCCAGTTACATCATTAGAATTAAGATCTGTGTATTTGCCCTCCAAAGCTTGGACATATGCTTCATACTGTTTCCATCTATTTTATAAAACACCTTTTCTGGGGCACCTGGGTGGTTCAGTCGGTTACGCATCTGCCTTCGGCTCAGGTCATGATCCCAGGGTCCCGGGATTGAGCCTGGGCCTGCTTCTCCTTCTGCCCCTCCCCCAGCTTGTGCTTTCTCTCACTCTCTCTCTCAAATAAAATCCTTAGAATTAACTCATCCCGTGCCATAACTTTGAAGTCTGTTTCACTCAGCCGAACCTTTTTGAGAAGAGGTTCCTCGCTGGTCATCTTGAATCCTCTCCAGACGGAGGCCGCGCCGGCGCCGCCCAGTCACATAGGCCAAGGCCGCGCTGCCCGCTCGCCGCCCAGACCTCCAGACCTCACTACCCCCGGCCCCCGCGCTCCTCCTACCGCCGCAGCCCCGTCGCTCCCCTTTATTTGCGAGGCCCCGACGCCCCACCCCCTTTGAAATTTAAATATATTTTTTTTTAAAAGGTGAAGAATGCTAACCAAAGAGATAGGACAACATTCCCCAAAGGCAGTTTCAAATGATGTGTGAGGGGCACCTGGGTGGTTACACTGCTTTCAGCTCACGTCATGATCCCATGATCCTGGGATGGAGCCCCACATCATGCTCCCCACTCAGTGGGGAGTCTGCTTCCTCTCCCTCTGCCCCTCCCCCACCCCTGCTCTGCTCCCTTGCTCCTTCTCTCAAATAAATTAATAAAATCTTTTAAAAAAATGAAATGATGTGTGAAAAAACTTGAAAAATATACATATCTATTAGTGCAACAATTTTACTTTTGGAGATAGCAAATTTTTTCCTAAAAAATAAATAATAAGGGGGAAAAGTCAAAGATTTACACACAAGCCCAATAGAAAAAATTTTTTAATAATTTAAATGTTCAAAAATAAATGATTTCTTAATTAAATTAAGGTAATATGTCACATATAACAATTTGATGTCAAGAGAAATGAATACTATCAAATGGTAAGTAAAAAATTCACTTAAATCAGATATGACAACAGTTGCACATGCATTTCAGCACATACGTGTGTCAGCTAATCTACAATTTCTCTGTATGATAGAATTATGGAGCTTCATTCTTTTTTCTGAAAACTCCATGAGAAATCATGAATTGATTTTATATGCATATTGTATTTAAAATAGGATATGAAAACTGATAAAACAGTCTCTTATTTTTAGCATTAATATAGAGCCGCATGGCCTACCAGTTAATATTTATTAGGCAGCTGCTGTGCACTAGGCAGTGTGGGGTGGCTTTCTACATATGTAATCAACATATATAGGATTTATACTTTTTTGTGGTAGTGATACTTTTTTATCAGTATCCAAATACTTTTGTTACAAAACACTCTCATCATTTACCTCATCTGATAATCCCCCAAATAATCCTAAGGATAATTATTATCCCTGCTTGACAGAATGTTTGTTAAATTTTATCATGTATTATTTCTAATCTTCATAAAATAATAAAAGGTAAATAAAACTATCACAACTACATGGATATAGAAACTAAAGTTCAAAAAGCTTTAAAAAGTGCCCAGGGCCACTCATCTCCAATTGTGATAAAAAATTCAGCCAGAGGGATGCCTGAGTGGCTCAGTCAGTTAAGCATCTGCCTTAGGCTCAGGTCATGATCCCAGGGTCCTGGGATTGAGTCCCACATCGGGCTCCCTGCTCAGTGGGAAGTCTGCTTCTCCCTCTGCCACTCCCCCTGCTTGTGCTCTCTCACTCTCTCTTTCTGACAAATAAAATCTTTTTTAAAAAATTGAGCCAGAATATCTCTAACTTTATAACTAAATAGGAGTATCAAATTTTTTACAGAGGTAAAATAAGTCAAGGAGAGGTAGCAAGAGATCCATGGTCACGCGGTGATCCATAAAATGCAAGGCAAGGTAATCTGGCTTTATATTATCTGAGGGAAAAGTCAGTTCTATTCTGGCCCTTTATGAAAGAGGATAAGGTTAAAGGGACTCAAAACAACTTTCTCCATTCAAAGTGAACTTTTATCTTGTTTTCATTGCTTTCCCACCCAATCTCTAGTCCCTCTGGACCTACAGGACAGGGGTAGACAGTCAAACTAACCACTAATAAATCCAGTTTTATCATTACCAGTCAAGAATCTTATCCTCTCTGAATCCCACTTTCCTCCTTTGTAAAATGATGCTTACTTCATAGAATTGGAAGCATGTAGAAATGTGCAAAAAGTACAGTTCCTGGCATGGAGGACAAAATGAGTAAAATTCTGTCTCTCCATTTCTGAGTCCTATTTATCCTTCAGTGCTCCACTTAAATTCCTTCCTCTTCAGGAAATTTCGTTTCTGTATTCTGGAAGATATCTATCCACTGCTGAGCTCTGAAAGCCAATTTCTCCATCTACTTTATGGTAAAACCATAACACTTTTATTTTGTAGCAGAATCAGATCAGTACATGTCTTATACTCCTACTTGGCTATATGCTCCTCAAGAATTTAGTTTTGTTCAGAATTCATGGACATCTCTTTAAGGGTCAGGATTCATATGAGTCACTTGAGATTCGCAAAACAAAACAAAACAAAAAAACAACAACAAAACCAAGGTGGAATCCCTGGTAAGAAAGAGACGACTTTGTAGTCTTCATACTCCCAGCACAGTGTTGGTGATAAAAAATCATTGAAATACTACTCTGCAGATGAACAAAGAAATGAATTAATTGGTTATGTAACTTGTTTATTATTATACATTATATTAACTGTCCGTTAATAATATCAAGCTTTTAAAAATATCTTTTAAATATATACATAAATTTTTGAGTAATAAACATATACATAAATATACATATATATGTACATATATATAATGGGTAAAGCAAATTTCTCAACAGGAACTAAACCCAATAACTGGTTTATGTAGTCTCAGTTACCTTGAAGAAAGGCAAGAAGAAACTGAGAAATTACCTATTATTTCTAACAAGATTTTCATTGTTAACACCTTAAAACTTAGCTAAATATCTTTTGAATAAGTGACCAGCATTGGGCTTTGGACAAACTTACCTCAAAATTATGGCTCTACCTTCTAGATGCATTACCTAGGATGATGAATCAGTAACATTAACCATAATCCCAATCACAATTAAACCAAGATGCTACCAATGATCAAGTGTTTACCATACCAGGCATTATGTTAAGTACTTACATATTATCTTATTTAGTATTCATTAAAACTTTGAAATAAGTATTATTAGACCACATAGACAAAATGAAACATAGGGAACTGAATTCATTGGATTCAGTCCCAAGTTTGCCTGACTTCAACAGCCAGAGACTTAACTACAAGCAACATGGGGCTTCTTGTTGGAATTCAGTTTCCTTATCAATAAAGAAGAGGTAATATATTTAGCAGCGTTGTTGAAATAATTAAATATGTCAAATTGTATAAAATACTTGATTGATACTCAATAAACTAGGGGAAAATAAAAATATATAGCAATGTAGGATGTGAATGCTGACAGCAACCCTTATGGTATAGTTCTACCTTTTCGGGTTGCCAATAAGTAAACCCAACTGGAAGATCTGGTAACTTATGAAAAGCTCAAAAACTGGTTGGTGGTAAAACTAGTAGAAGCTGTATCACTTCATAGCTTGGACCTTGCAACAGTAAAGTATTGTGAAAAACTGAAGAAGATACAGATTGAAAGAGATACCAATATCGTAAAAACGAAAAAAAGGACTTCTGAACAATGATGAAAAAGTATAGTTATTTAACATCGAGACAAAAATATAACTTAGTAATTCTCTTGAAGCATACAAAAGTTTAATGTAATATGTAAAATGACTATTCTCTTTTCCATTGAGAATAAAAAAAATTGCAGTTAAATTGAGTAAGAACTCTTTAGTTAAATTTAAAAGACTGTTTTGCTAAAAACTGGAGCAGATTAGTAGGGGAGTTCTTAGAAACGCTTTCTTTTAAGGTGCTAAAGATCAAATAGATAATGATCTCCCTGAGATGAATTAGGCTCAGTGGTATCTATACAGTGGAATAAATACGAAACCATCCGAAGCTCAGTATTTAGTAATTTGCATTCTGCCAATGTTCAGAATTGTCTTAATTCTTAGATTTATTACATTGAAGTTTTGATATTTTGTATAAATGAGAGAAGTCTTTCAAAAATTCAAGCATTTTAAATAAGCCATTCAGCTTTAAGATTTTCTCTAATACTATTTCAGGTGCAATAACTCCTACAGTTGAAGATAAAATAACGGTTCCATTTTACTGTCTTTTAAATTCAGTAATAATGGCTTGTAATTATAGAGCACCTCTCTTCCATGGAGCTTAATGTGTTTTAAGGACACCGCCTCATTAATCCTCCCACCTTCTTTTTAAGGTAAGTATTGTGGTCCTCATTATACAGATGGAGAACCTGAGGCACAGAGAAGTTAATTGATTTGCCCAAGGTCACACAGCAAGTAAATGACAAGGCTGTGACTTCTGACTCCCCATCTAATGTCTTGCATGCCAGGCCATTCAGCTTTTCCCATTGGGGAGAAATAATCCATTCATTTTTATCAAAGTTCAACTACAGGCTGCTAAATTCCTTGGGGCAAAGTTGCACAGTGCAATTTCACACCACAGCATTGGCACACTGTCAGTTTACACAGAGGAGATCTCATACTGAGCTACAAGGTTACTAATAAAAATAGAGAAGAAAAGATATCTAAAAATGGCTCTCTGAGATGTCTGAGTTTGTGCTGCCAAGAACTCACACTACCCTTCTCAACTAAGCAGCAGCGTAAAAACCTGCAAGCTTCAGATATCAAATTCTAATGATCGTAAATGTTTTGAAAACATTTTAAAGGTGATAAAACAAAAGACTTAACTAGGTTATAGTAAAAGAGTTCTACAGATGTGCTTCATTTATTTATGCATGTGTATTTTTATTGATTTGTCTAAACCACACAACCTCCTCTATCTAGTATTTGCAAAGCATTCATAAATAAGCACCCTCATCCAAACAAGAAAAATAACCAGCACATTAAAAAGTTATCGCTTCAAAACAACAGCAAAACATTACGTGAAACCACTATCTAATCTGCACAATAAATCGGTCACTGTGTAAAACCTAAGGGAAGATATTCCAGACACAAAGGTTGTCTGATTATTTGATATCCCAGTATCCTATCTAAGTAAGCAGCACAGAATACCATTTTCTCCATGGCTGAAGATGCAGTAACACCATTCAGCAGCCCATTTGTACTGCTTAGCCCAAAATAGAAAGAATTCAAAGTGCTGAAATGTAGCTTTGTTCACTCCAAATAACTCTCAGAAGATTATTGTCATTAATGATTTTTTCGTCTGAAGCATAACCAACCAAAAGCTGTAGAAATTCTTACCTGATTTAATGTCCTGTAGACACTGCAAAGTGTTAGTGAAAGT